TATATGTGTATGTATATGTATATATATATATGTATATATATATATATATATATATATATATATATTATATGAAGAATGCGTGCCCACCTGTGTTTCAAAACATGAATATAATATAGCGTATCAGTAATGAAACTAAGAAGCTGACTTTAGAAACACTAAAATTTAAGATTCTGGATAATATATATTAAAAAGGCAAATGGGAAAACCCAACAGCAAACGGCCATACAATGCAAAACAATTTAAAATTAAATCGGAACAGTAGACTTGGCCATTGTCTTTCCTCGATTGTCAACGATCGACGGCACGAAGAAAGAGAGAAGGAGCGCGCAAGCTCCACTAGGCTCGTTCCCACAGCCGTTGATTTTTTCCACTTGACCCGATGTCAAATGTCATGAAAGCACCGAATGATAAAAGAACCGTACGTAAAGATGAAAGGGCCGAAAGGTAAAACTAAAAAGCACCAAATGATAAAAGATCCGTAAATGTGGCAAAAGCACCGAACGTAATGATAAAAGCACCGAACGTAATGTTTCAAAGCACCGAATGCAATGTTAATAAAAGCACCGAACGTAATGAAAAAAAAAACCAAACGTAATGTAAAAAGCATGGAACGTAATTTGAAAGCACCGGACGTAATGTAAAAGGCACCAAACGTAATGTAAAAAGCACCGAACGTAATATAAAAAGCACCGAACGTATTGTAAAAAGCACCGAACGTAATGTAAAAGCACCGAACGTAATGTAAAAGCACCGAACGTAATGTTAAAAGGGCCGAATAGCAAATGCGCCGAACGGAAAAGAGCCACCAAAGGCAGTAACGGCGTTCCATAGTAATGTGTGTACTTGCTTGGTCACTACCGGTGGCATATCTGGAGGTAGGGGAGGGGGTAGGAAGGAGTACGCCCCTTATAAATTACTCGTCTGCCAGTCGCCCCTTCCCAAAATCCCTTGCAAGTATTTAGCAATCACCTAAAATCAACTTATTTTGAGAGTGAGCACGCCCCTCAACTGATCATCTATCACCCTCCCCCCCCCCCCCCCCCCCCCCCCCCCCCCCCCTTCTCTTTTTACCCACGTCACTTCTGCTCCCATACATATATTCCAAGACTACGCGGTACTGGGTAAAGTCAACTTGATTTCTTACTTCGAACAAGGTTTCCATTCGTAAAAGTCTTTAAAGATAGGCCTAAGCCTATGGTAGAGGGTCGAGACCAGAACATACCACCTCCGACCGTATATTGAGAAAGATTGAACAAATTGAACTTAATGACTGTAAGTGTAAGTAATCTGCTAATTATGAATACAAAAGACACAAAATATATTTAAAAAAATAAATAAATAAATCATATAGGAATAAAGTCTAATCTAATCATATTTATTTATATAGCGCCTTTCTTTGCAGATACGAAGCGCTTCTGTCCCTGGTCATTGGATCCACATGGTAAGTGTTGCTGCTGTATTCAGCGCAGGAGCAAGCACTCCCACCAGGTACCCATTTATGCTCCTGGGTGGAGAGAAGCAAAGCACAAGGACACAAGCGAAATGCACAGCGAGGGATTGAAACCCCGACTTCGAGGATGGGAAACCAAACCTTTCACGCTGCTCCAAACCGCAACGTGAAAGACGAAGAATAGAAAAGAAACTCGGAGCGGCTGAAATATTTTCCGAAAATAAACAATAATAATAATCAATGTCATTATTGTATTACCGTAAAACAACCTCGAATTAAAGCCCTGCCGGGCTTCTTCTTTTCTGCGAACTTTCGATGTGCTTCTTTTCATGATGGGCTTCTTTTCGAGATGGGCTTTTTTCATAAGTATATATAAAATAATACAATTTAAAAGATTCTATCAGATCACCAATACAATATTGGAATTAAAATATAATGCCATTTAACAGTGAACGAAGTCATGCTTGTCAAATTAATGTATTTAATTATTATATTGTCAAGGCATGATCACACTGCATGGTTGTATGACAGGAAAAGATAATGGAGTCATGAAAAAGTTGTTTTAATAATCTAGCGGACCCATTTGACTTGGCTGACCCTTAGGGGTGGTGCCAGGATTTTCCCGACGGGAGTGGGGCGGGGTCCGATGTCCCTTACGAAAAAAGTGGGCGAAGTCGGGCGTCGCCCAAAATCTCTCGAAAGTGTCCCCCACGGGTTTCGAAGGCTTTATTTAATCGATTTTAAAGTAATAACATGTAGAAAATACAAATAGGCCTACATTTTTTTTCCTCCCCGACGGATTGTGGTTTTTCTCCCCGACGGAAGTGGGTGAAGGGGACACTCCCGACGGGGCCCTGCTGTCCCCCCCCCCCGCTGGCGCTACCCCTGCTGACCAGTGGTGGCGCCAGAGTGGCACTGGGGCTATAATTAAACTATTTTTGATAACTTTTCATCACAATGTAATAATAATAATAATAATATTAATAATAATAATAATAACAATAATAATAAAAAATCAATGAAACTAATTAAAAATAATTTGGGCTCTGTTATGACAAATACTCGTTTAAATAGCCTCATGATGCTTGGAATACATCGTGATAGGGGAAGCAACCTCTACCTCTACCAGCGTGGTTGACCGATTTCATGCAAAATTTCCAAAATGTAGAATTTCACTTTCCAGAATGAGGATTTGAAAATAAATTAGATGGTTACATTGCATACCGTACTCTTTGTTTCTTGTTTTATTCAAAATTGTTTGGTTTTGGAAGCTGATTTCGACATTAGAAAACATAGCCTGCATGAAGTCATATAGTAGCTCGATGCCTATCAAATAAGTAATAAACATTCGCCATAATTCCTGTCTCTTATACACATCTAGATGTGTATAAGAGACAGGGTTAATATTATGCATGGTCATGGTGTCAAAAATGGGCCGTGGGCCAAGAGGGTTTAGTGCAAACTCAAAATGCGTGTGCCACCACTTTAGTTTTGCACTGCGCCACTTGACTTTTGTACTGTGCCACTTGACTTTTGCACTGCGATTGTAGTTTGTCCTTTTCGCGACAAAATGTGACCGCGGTTGATTGTAATTAATGATAACAATTAAAGTACAGTTGTAATAACTTATAGGCCTATAGGTAAATTACGCTACATAAGAATGAACTATTATTATTATTATTATTATTATTATTATTATTATTATTATTATTATTATTATTATTATTATTATTATTATTATTATTATTATTATTATTATTATTATTTTACTTCTTACTTCTTACTTCAGCTCCCATGTAGGCTTCCGCCTGTCAGTGGTGCTAGCCTCTCTCTCCATTTTTGTCTGTCTGACATCTCACCGCTATTTATTAATTCTTGGAAGTTGGCATGTTATTCCTATTTAAAGTCTCTTTAATTGTGTCTATCCATCGTTTCCTCGGTCGTCCTCTTGGTTTTTTCCCACACGGTGTCCAGTTCCAGCATCTCTTAGCTACTCTATTATCGTCCATTCTCTCTAAATGACCAAGCCATCTTAACTGAGCTGCTTCAATTTTATTGCGAATGGGCGTCATACCAACCTGCCTTCGGATCTCCTCATTTTTAATTTTGTCCAGTCTGGTCTTATTGGTAATAATCCTGAGGGGTCTCATTTCTGAGGCTTGTATCCAACTCCAGTCAGTTGTTGTTATTGCCCATGCTTCTGTACCATACATCAAGGTAGGTGACAGGACTGCATCAAAATGATCTGCTTGGTCTTCTGAGGTACATGTTTGTCCTTTAAGATAGGATACAAAGCAGCTACATTCTTGCTAAATTTCCCAATTCTCTCCGTGATATCCAATTTATTTCCACCTTCTTGCATGATGATGCTTCCTAGATATTTTGCCTTCTCTACATTTTTTCACAGTTTCTCCGTTGATGATGATTTTGAGATTTTCTTCTGTCTTCCTACTGACATACAGAATTTCAGTCTTCGAGACATTCATCTTCATACCTGCTCTTTTAAAACATTCATTCCAATGATGTATTGCTCTCTCGAGATCTTCTCTTTCGTCTGTGTAGTACGAGATGTCATCTGCATAGGCCATGATGAGACTTGTGATAGGTGGATTGTGTTTCATTTTAAAATTTCTAATGACGCTGTCCATATATGCAATAAATAATATTGGGGATACTACGCTTCCCTGTTTCACACCGGTTTCTATATTGAAACATTTCTTGTTTTCAAAACCTGTCCTGACTTTGCAGAGGCATGGGTTGTACATACTTTTCAGAGCTCTTCCTAGACGACCAGTAATACCATACTCTTCTTCCATAAATCTCCACAGCATTTCCCTAGGTATGGATTCAAAAGCTTTGCTTAAATCAATGAAAGTGAAATAAGCTGGTTTGTTGAACTCCCATGATTTTTCCACCAAGGATCGTATGCTGAATATCAGGTCGGTGGTAGACATGTTTTTTCTGTAACCATGCTGTTCTAAGCCCATCCTTGGTTCAATCCGCTGTCTAACTCTTTTTTCTATGATTCTTTCATATAATTTAGCTGTATGATTAATTAGTGAAATTCCCCTATAATTTTCACAATTACCGGAATCTCCTTTTCTTTTATAAATCGGTATAATTAAAGTTTTACCCCATTCTTCGGGTATTTCACCTTTGCGCCAGCAGTGGTTTATTAATCCTAAGACATGACTAAGAATTTCCTCACCTCCATATTTAATTAGATCTATAATGATTTCATCTTCCCCTGGCGATTTTCCATTTTTTATTTTCTTCTAATTCTTGTGATGTAATTAAATCTTCTTCTACCTTAACATCCTCATTAGTTATTTCTTCCCTGCAAGTTTCCTCTGTTGTTATCTCTCCTGTTTTTACATTTAGTAGCTTATTGAAATATTCTGTCCACCGATTATTGATACTTTCTGCTGTGTAAATAAAATAATCAATGATTGACATCTGGTCAAACTTAGCGGAGTTTTGATTCCATCTATATCTTGTACACCTGTGTGAACTTTGGTGTTGGAAGAAACCGTTCATAATCTTTAAATTGTTCATAATACAGAAGTCAATTAGTCTTCCTCCCTCAGGATTTCTATGTTCTTCACCGAAGGGACCCATTACCTTTTCAGTTCCCACTCTGTCGCTTCCAATTCAGCCATTAAAATCTCCCATCATCAGCCCTATCTCGGTGTCTTGTATATGATAACAATCCTCTAGTAACCTATAAAAGCTTTCCTTCTCTTCAGTTATATGTCCTTGCTGAGGTGCATACACTTGATATATGTGGTACTTATTATTATTATTATTATTATTATTATTATTATTATTATTATTATTATTATTATTATTATTATTATTATTATTATTATTATTATTATAATTATTATTATCATCATCATCACCATTATTATTATAATATTATTATTATTATTATTATTATTATTATTATTATTATTATATATTATTATATATATCATAACTTTGATGGCTTTCATTATTGTTACCGTAATATCTTTAGAAAACTATTAGTACCCTTTCGAATTTATTTTATGTAGCTATTATTATTATTAATGGTATAATTACTATTATTATTAGTATTACTATTATTATTATTATCATTATTATTATTACTATTAGGCTATTATTATTAATTTATTGTTTACCAGTATTATTATTATTAGTATTATCATTATTACTTGTGTGAGTAGTTTCATAACTTACCTGCTCTAAAGACTAATTTTTTTTTACAGTACTTTACGAATATATTCGTATTGTAGTACTGTTGTACTTGTACCATATTAGCTTTCTTTTTTAGACACCCAATGTTTGTATTATTGGTAGGCCTATAAATGTAAATAAAAATTTTTAATAAATAAAAATAATAATATATTATTATATATACCATAACTTTGATGGCTTTCATTATTGTTACCAAAATATCTTTAGAAAACTATTAGTACCCTTTCGAATTTATTTTATGTAGCTATTATTATTATTAATGGTATAATTACTATTAGTATTATTAGTATTACTATTATTATTATTATTATTATTATTATTATTACTATTATTATTAATAATATAATATTGTTATCGTTTATTATTATTGGTGTTGTTATTGCTATTTTGTTATTAATACTAGCATTATTATTATTATTATTATTATTATTATTATTATTATCGTTAATATTACTCATATACATTTTTTAGACCTGTGTGAGTAGTTTCCCAGCTTACTCGCTCAAAAGATTAATTCTTTATTTTACGAATATAACTGTTGTACCTGTTCCTGTTTCTTGTTTGTTTTGTACCGGTATCTGTTTTATGTATAAATTATGGAAGCACCAATTTCATGTTCTAATATTAATTGCGACCGACTTGCTAACTTAATTTTTAAACCAACTGCATCTGCTAGACAATTTGACAACATAGATCCTGACAATAATTTTTTCAACAATGCAAACGTATCAAATTTTTATTTACCAATCGAGTTCAAAAGTAAATTTAAGAATAATGACTGTGAAAATAATTTTTCTTGTATTCACTTTAATGGTAGAAGTCTGCTTAAGAACTTCGAATCGATTTCAAATTGTATTAAATCACTTAACTTTAATTTTGATATCATTTCAGTAACAGAAACTTTACCAGCCCACTTATTTATATTCCAAATTATTCCACAGTTTTTAAACCTCGTTCTTATAAATGTGGTGGAATTAACATGTATATTAAAAACAATACTCAATATTCTCTTAGAAACGACCTAACTCCCATTAATTATTAATTAATTTTGTGAATCATTATTTATCGAAATTCATACACTCAACGAAAACATAATTGTAGGTACTATGTATTATGACCTCATGATATCACTATTCCTTATTTTACGGAACAATTTGAGCTTCTGCTTAAAAAGATATTAAAAGAGAAGAAAAAGGTTTTCCTTCTTGGTGATTTCAACATAGATATTTTAAAATATGAATCTGATAACAACGTTAATGATTTTATCCATTGTTTATTCAACAATTCTCTTCTTACCCTCATTCATAAACCGACAAGGATAACTCCACATTCCGCTCCTTATTGATAATATTTTTACTAATGACCTTGAACCCTCTAACAGTGGTATTATCATTCATGATGCCACTGATCATCTTCCTGTTTTTAACATTAGTTTTATAAACAAGTCCAGTAGGCCTAAAACAAATATTAATAATAATATTAACCGCAAATTTCGTAAAATTATTGCAAATAATATTTTAAACTTTCGGAGCGATTTATCGAACTGTTCGTGGTATGATGTCATCAATGCCTCGCACCCTAATATAGCATACGATACATTTATGAAAAAGTACGTAACCCTATATAATAATAATTTTCCTTTAACCGAAACCTGGAAAGCAAATAAAAAACTATTAATCTCAATTTCACATAAACGTAAACTTTACCTAAAAAGCATCCATCATCCTACAAATAGCAATGTATCTAAATATAAGCGTTATCGCAATAAATTAGACCATCTCCTAAAAATTGCTAAATCTGAATATTATAAATACACATTTAATAAGCTTAAATCTAATACAAGGCTACTTGGCGTGTCATAAATTCTTTACTTAAACCATCAAATAGCACCTTACCTGATATTGAGATTTTGGATAAAGGTGAATTAATACAAGACCCCTTGAAAGTCTCAAATTTATTAAACAATCACTTTACTAATATAGGTCCTGAACTTGCTAAGAAAATCATTAATAACACTCCTAGAACCTTCTGCGATTACCTTCATTTCCCCTTATTCCAAACTCAATCTTTCTTTCTCCAGTTTCTGAAGAAGAAGTGTAGGCCCCTACTCAATTGTAAACTCTTTTAAAACTAACAAGGCTCCAGGCATTGATGACATCTGTGGACAAGTTGTAAAAAAATCTATTTTCTTGTTCTTTATCCCTTAACTCATATATTCAACTTATCCCTTTCCACTGGTGTTTTCCCAAAGAGCATGAAATTAGCAAAAGTTACACCTATTTTTAAAAAGGGCATCAAATCAGATCCAAATAATTATCGTCCAATTTCCGTTCTTCTGATCTTTTCGAAGATCCTTGAGAAAATTATATATGACCGAACTTACGATTTTATTTAAAAAAAAATAACATTCTATATACCAAACAATTTGGTTTTAGAAAAGATTATTCCACTTCTTATCCTTTAAATCACAAACAAAATCATAGATGCAATTGAAAATAAATCTTTTTCAGTAGGTCTTTTTATTGACCTTTCAAAAGCCTTTGATACAATTCATCGTTCAATTTAAATTTCTAAACTTTTTAATTATAGTATTCGTGGTGTTTCTTTGGATCTTTTCAAAGACTACCTTTCTAATAGATCTCAATGCACAATTAATAATACTCATATTTCTGATTTGAAACCAATTACCTGTGGTGTGCCTCAAGGTTCTCTTCTTGGTCCTCTTTTATTTTTACTTTATATTAATGATTTACCCAATGCCTAAAAAATTCTAACCTTTTATCTCTATGCTGATGATACTATTCTTTTTTTTATTCTAATACTAATTTTGAATCTATTTTTCGTACTTTTAATCAGGAACTAACAATTATAAATAATTATTTTATAGTAAATAAACTTTCTATTAACATTAACAAATGCAATTTCATGCTGTTTGGTTTTCGCCACCAAAAAAGACTTAATGAAACCCGTAATATAATGATCGATGACCAAATAATCCCTCTTGTGAAAAATACTAGATTTCTTGGAGTTGAAATTGATCAGGAATTGAACTTAAAAATTCGTATAAAGGAAATAGAAACTAAAATTTCAAAAAACATAGGTATTCTTTATCGTCTGTCTTTATATTTACCCTTACATATTCTCCGTAATATTTATTGTTCTCTTATTCTTCCGTTTATTAGCTATTGCAATATTGTGTGGGCCAATAACTACCCTTCTAACCTTGA